CTGCCTCAGGCCTGAGGGTCCCATTTCCGCCCTCGCCCTGAGTCCTTTTGAGCCTTGGTATGCGATTCTTTTCAGTGTCTGGCTTGGGGCTTGTTGTCCTGACTACCTTGTGTGGGAGTTCAGGATGGGAGGGGTGCCCTGCTGCTCTCTAGGGGGCAGTTGCTGCTCTCAGGTGGGGTCTTCTGCTTGAACACATAGGTCTGAAGGCTGCTNCAGGGCCCTCTGGCAGGCGGTTTCTCAAGGGGCAACACACCTGGGGGTGGTGGCCAGGGCTGCCTCCAGTCTGGCCCCTGCCCCTTGCACAGATCCTCACATGACCAAATGTCCTTAGCCCTGGTCGGCCTGAGTCTGCCCTAGTCCCCGTGCTTTTCTCCCTCCAGGTGAAGGAAAAGGAAACCAAACTTTAAACCCATTGAGAGTAACATTTTCCAGAAAAGGCTCTGGTGACTATGCCCCTCACCGTGGCAGGAGGGTCTTGGGATTTCCCTGTCCCCCGACCTGCCGGGACCCAGGACCACCAGGGAGGAGGTGAGTGGAAGTTTCACTCACCAAGTGCTTCTGTAGCTGCGGAAGCATTGTTCTGAGCAACTGCTCATGAAAGGACTGGAGTCTGTGGAGCTTCGGGGATCCTGGTATGTAGAATCCTGAGAAACACAAGGTCCCCCCACATGAGCACCTGCTTCCCCAGCCAGGTGGAGCCAGCCATGCAAGGCCGTACACTGACACAGGTGAGGTAACCTGGGAAGGCTGAGGTCCAAGGCTGGAGGAGTTGAGCATGGCAGGGTGACCCTAAACCCAAGGCTTCTTCCTCTTCCCACTCAGTGACCCCACTATGTGTCCTCAGCCTTGAGGACAATGGGTGGGGATGTCCTCTCAAGCATTGGTAGACTCGCTGTCCAGCTGTGTCCTGGGATGAGGCCCCAGTAGAACTGGACCAACTTCTAGGCAGTAAGGAAGGACGATGGCGGATTGAAGGGCTGTGTCAGCCACGTTGGAGCCGTGTGCGGCCATCGGGGTGACAGGTGTGAGTGATGGGGTGTGTGTGGCTCTTAGACTCCAGGTCTGGCTGGGGGACACCAGTTGGGGAGACGCTGCTGACTGAGCTCTGTCTGGTTATTGGAAGGGAGGCTGGCAGGATGGCCAGCGTGAGGCAGAAGGACCAGCAGAAAGGAGAAAAAGGCCTGGACAAGGACGAGGCCACAGGGCCGTGGCCACAGGAAACAGAACGCAGGCCACAGCGAGGCTGCGGGTCCCTTCTCTGACCGAGACACAAGGTGTCCAACTCAGGGTTACAGGTCCCTGTCCAGACTTGGGCTGCTGGGGGACTGTCCCTAGGGGACTGTCCTGGAGACTCATAAACAGTTGGAGAGGGACGGTGCCGTGGCTGTAAGCCGCCATCACTTGGCCAGAGTGGTCATCCCTGGCTTGGCTGCACAAGGCACTGTGGGCAGCTGTTCACCTACCGTGCATGTTGTGACGCCGATTTGTCATGAGCTGGACCAGTGCCCAGAAGGCGTCCTCCTCGTTTAGGTGCATGAGCAGGATGGCAGCAATGTGGCTCATGCCCTCACAGTAACCCACCTCCTGCAAGAGCCAAAGTCACCATGCAAGGTTGTGCCCTGAGACAGCTGAGGTCACCTGGGCTGGCTGAGGTCAAATGGGAGGACTGAGGTTGCCGGGGAGTACTTTGGTCAGCTGTGTGGGCTGAGGTCGCCTGGGAGAACTGAGCTTACCTGGGAAGGCCCAGGTCAGCTGGGAAAGCTGAGAATACCTGAGAAGACTGAATAAAGGTAACCTGAAAGAGCTGAAGTCACATGGGAGGCTAAGGTCACCTAGGAAGGCTGATGTGAATCAGAGGGACTGAGGGCAGCTGAGAATGCTGAGGTCACTGGGGAGGGCTGATGTCACCTGGGAGAGCTAAGATCAACCAGGAGAGCTGGTGAAATCTACAGGGACTGAAGTCACCTGGAAGGACTGAGGTGACCTGGGAGAGCTCAGGTCACCAGGGAGGCCAACCACAGACCTCCGAGTATGTGGGGTCCAGCCTCTGTGCCCCTCCTGAGACACTTGGCATCAAAACTGAGCATGTCCCACACATGTCAGGTCACACGGAGCTCCTGGAGGGACTCCTGCAGCGCAGTGGCCAAGCTCTTTTGGCCAGAAAGGTCAGATCAAGAACTGGCGAGAGCTCCCCCTCCCACATGCCGGGCCAGGGAGGCCCCTGCACCAGGCTCAGGCCAGCACCCACTGTCTGGATTCGCCATGAGGGATGGCTGTCACTGAGCACCCCCCGCACAGAGTCCAGAGACGGCCCACAGGCTGCCTGGCACAGGAGGACAGATAAGCTCAGGCCCCACGTGGGCGGCCTGGGGAGCCCTTTCGGCGGCTTTCTGTTTTAAGAACAGTCTGGAAATCGGGGCAGAGCGACAAGCAGCTGCTCAGGAGCCCTCCCAGGCTGCTGCACTCTGTGGGGTAGTTTCTCATGAATCATATGGCATTTGTCAATGCACACTCATCTGATGAAAGCCCATGAGGCACCTCGCTCCCCTAGAGAAGATCACTCCGGACACCAGCATCCCTGACACTGCCAAGCTCTTGGGATTAAGGACACCCCAGCAGGAAGGTGTGTCCTTGTTCTAAGGAGCAGTGGTCAGGTCCGCTTGAGGGACGAGCCTGGACCCACCCTCTCCATCTCAGCTTGAGCTTAGAGACCTTCCTCTCCTCGCTGGGACCTCTGTGAGAGCAGTGACCTTGCACCATAACTAGGATGTCCGGGGTGCTCATGAATCCCTGGGACACCCAAGCCAGTGACTATGGGAATGGGCCCGGGCTGTCGTTGGCCAGGGATACTCACCGTGTCATAGGCAGAAAAGGCTACCAGCACGTGGAAGAGTTCCTGCTGCCTAGGAAAGGGTGAATAGAGGGATCTGGTGGCTCCGTGCCCATGCTGTTAGTTTCCTGTGGCCTAACAGACCCTGAGATGCACCTGCCCTTCCCAGTCTCCCCTCCCTGGGCACTGGGCCTCCCCTTGTGGCAGTCTGGTAAGGGCAGGAGCACAGCCAGCCGCTCAGGCCCGGCCACGGCCTCACCTCGACACCTGCCTTCTGCCTCCCTCTGGCTGCAGCTGGGTGGCTCCTTTCCTACCCCCGTCCCTGCCTCTCCACACCAAACTTGTCCCCTTACTGTTCACTCAGCCTGCTCCCTGTCACCCTTTATGTCTCCAGTCACAAGCAAAAGGCCAGGAGTCCCTGGTCCTGCCGCTCTCCCATAGGTCCCTAACCCTGATCCTCCTGGCTCATGGAGAACAGTTTTCACCATGTGGCATTACTGTGTTTGCTGCCATCATTCTGGGGAGCCAGCTGGGTTCTGCCCCACGTGCCTCAGGCCCCAGTTCAGGACTCGGTGCACGGTAGGTGCTGGGGACATGGTGCAGGCCGCTCCCTGTGCCAGGAGAGAGCTCGGCAGCTGTGTCACCTCCTTCCTCTGGGAACCCTGCCTCTCCCCTGGGAACTCTCCATGTTCCTGGGCCTCCCATGTCCCTCTGGATTTCCTCATCTCCCCTGGGGCCTCCACTCTCCGAGATGCCCGACCCCCCCAGGAGCTTACTTGATGCCATAGCGGTCGTGAAACATCACATGGTTGGTGAAGGTGCAGCTGACTTCAAGGTCAATTCTCTGTATTTGTTGGCAGAGCATCTTGCCCTGCTCCTTCATTCTCTGCAGGACAGGGCCAGAGAAGAAAGGGTGTCAGAGCATGTCTGAGACTCGCTGCCATGGGCACCAGTCATACAGGGGTCAGTGCACGTGGCCAGAAAGGGAGTTTTTGCTGCAGAAATGTCCTCATGATTGTTCCCACAGCCAGGGGCAGTCGCCAGAACACAGCATGACCTCAGTACCCATGTCACAGCCTGTGCTCAGCAGTCCTGGTGGGGGCACCACTGAGGACAGCCCACTGCTGATGGTGAGGCCCCAGAACCCTGCCCCTCAAGCCCCTTTTAGATACATGGGGACCAGGTCACCCCAGCCCGGGCCTCCTGCTCCATCTCCCCGGGGACTCAGTCCTCACCTGGGGCTGCCCCCTCCTGACCATGTGTCACTTTCCTTCTCTCCTCAAGGGGCCTCTCCCCCTGGGTGAAAGCAAGTGCCCCTCGGGCCCTTAGCTTGCTTCCCCTTTAATGTTTTACTCAGGATCTGTGCCTGGGGCTGCCTGGCCCCTACCCCTCAGGGCTTTCCAGGAGTCAAGGAGGGCAGCTTGTG